CTACTGTTATGAAAGTGATGTTCTCTGGTCATAGTAGAAGGCCAAAATATAGTGTATAAGTTGACCACCACACTATGCTAGCTAAAAAGCATTAGTCAGTGACTCCTTTTATAGCATTCATAAAAAAAATATTGATGTCATCCTACTCACATGTAACTACTTATCATTGTTCTATAATTTTTTTTTTTTTTTTTGATGTTGGAGCATAATCTTGCTTTCTTCTTGGAATTTTCAGGAGTTCCCTGAAATAGCCATGGACACCATTGTGCACATCATCAGACGCATGTCACCAGCCCAGCGTGCTGAGACCATGAAGGCGCTGACCAACATGGACCTAATTAGCCAGCAGGCTGAGCCAGTCACCACACCTGACCCTCAAGAGAACTCAAACTGACACTTGTTGTGGCGGTAGTAATCCCGTACTACTGGCCACATCCACCCCCTGGTCACACTGACTCATTGTGCAGGCCCTTCCTAGCTGCCATTGCCAGAATCCACACTTAAAGAGGAATTATTATAGCTGAAGATCATATGAGGTCTTTTAAATGGTTTAAGAGATAGATTAAAATGTAGACTTTTTTATGAATATTTACAGAAAAAGGGAATCAGCCATATACTTTTCAAAATATGCTATTTTTTTAGAGAAATTCATAATAAGAAACATGATTATGAGAGGGAGAGTGTCAAGAGAAAGTATATTGTTATTTGGTATCGCTAACATACTGCACACCATTTTTCACTTGATAAAGCTGTAAAAACAGAAGAAACAATATATTTGATATGAATAAGGGCTAGTATGGTTCCATATATATGAAATAGCAAGTAGCATAATGAATAGATAATGATAGACTGGCTATACTTTTCTCTTTGTGAAAGACAATTTACATCTTGTATTGTAATGAAAACATCCCTTTTAGAATCCCTATTCTTTCCAATAAAGATAATTATAAAAGATATGTATGGTTGTAATAATTACTGTAATATTTAAATCCTTCTGATTAATGTTCTCTTTCTATGCAGGAGATCCCCTTTATGTAATCAGATATAAAGTGTAGATTACCTAATACTTATTGACATATTTAAACATGTATGTACTGTAGTCCTCTTTTGTTGAACAGCACTGGCCAGGGGATGTTGTTCAATTTTGGCAGTGAGGGATTTTGTGGACTTGTAGGAGAGTGTGTGTGCAGGATATGGTTTGTTGCCTTTTGACTTGTGGCGGAATGCTTAGCCTAACCCCACCTCCAACCTTATAATTTGGTTAGTGCTGGTTGGAGTTGGAAATTTGAATGAATTTCAGAAGCACTGCATGAATACACATGGTTTTCACTTTAGAGGCAAGAGATGTTGTTGTGTCACAGCGATAACAGTTTATTAGTATTTGGATTTCAAGGTTTCACACGTAATTTTCATAGAAAAATTGGTGCATAAAAAAATCACAAAAGCAAAAATGACTATGATAAACTACAGCATATTGTTGTGGTTGGGTTTTTTCTATGTATCTAAAAGAAAAAGAAAAAAAATCAAAGCCATTGCTTCTCCCAAATGATGAATATTGAAATTCACTTAGTTATGATTTTTACTTTCATAATTTTCATGAGCATATTAATATTACTTCAATTTTTATTGTAATCATTGATCAGATGTTATACTCTTTTGCTATGGCTGGAATTTATGGTTGTTTTCGAAAATTTGAATCTTGATTTATAGCAATTTTTGTGAAAGGAAAAGTTTTTGAAAGTTATATACCGAAGTCCAAGGTAATGTTGGTTTATAAGACTTTGAAGTTCTGTAGGCAGTCATAGTTAAAGTGTTGAAGGATAGGACTCATAACAGATGAATTATTATTACTAGGATTAAAGTCTGGAATTGGTCTCTGTTTCTTTTTCTTTAACACATATTTTAGAGGTAATGTTCTTTTTTATGCTAATTAGGAAGAAAATGTTTCTTATGATTATGTCTTGACTTTTTTTTTGTTTTGTTTACAAGTAGGGAGAAATATAAGATCCCACTAGGCATTGTGTTTACTGTGTCTCACAGATGTTTTGCAATTTTGACCTGTAACAGCACAGTCCTCTTCTGCATGCATAATAGACTAGATGGATTCAGTTAAATACTGGTTACCACGTTTGCTATTTGAATGAATACATAGCCAACATTATTCAGGGATTTTGTTTTAAAAATAGGAACATATTGACTTAGTGTCTTTTCTTCTATGGTAGCTACCAAAAATAATGTCACAAAGTTCAAGATATACTCTTAGAATTCGTTCTTACTGTGTCTTTATTTTGTTATTTTTCTATTATGTACTTCTTGTATAACTTGGATGCATTAGTACTAGATGAAGTTGTAAATATTCTGTGAAGAACATCAGACATTATTTTATGAATGATATGTAATTGTGTGACTTTTGTAAAGTAATTGTTGAAAGGATATATAAATTATACACATTGTAATTTAATATATTGTTTAGTGTAAATATAAGATACTGCTATTTCAA